AATGAGGAAAATAACTACTGAATGTCACTGAGACAGCAGACACTATCAAAACTTATACAAAAACAGGACAGGATGGTTCCAGCAGGCATCCAAAATAAAATACCAGATGACTTTTCAGTAGAAGAAAAGGCACTAGAACTACTTGACGGAATTCAAATCTCTAATATTCAGAGCTATCCAAGAGTTGAAGCAAAAAGCAGACAAAAATGGGGAGGGGAGGAAAGGACTCATACCCAGAATATATAATAAAAATTCTTACAAATCAATAAGAAAAAGAGAGGCAACCCAATAGACAAATGGCCAAAAGTCTTGGACAGGCATTTCACAAAAGAGGATATCCAGATGGCCAATAAGCATATGAAAAGGTGTTCAACTGTATTATTCATCAGGGAAATGCAAATTAAAACTATGGAATACAATACTACACACATCCACCAGAATGGCCAAACTACCATTTGTTGTCAAGGAGGTAGAGCAACTGGAACTTTCATACACTACTGTTAGAAATAAATGCTTTGGAAAATTGTTTAGCAGTTACCTACCAAAGCTGAACATGGCATACACTATCACTCAATAATTCTACTCCTAGGTATATATCCAACAGAAATGTATAAAACACATGTACACCAAAAGAGATGGTCAAGAATATTCATATCAGCTCTACTTCCAATAGCCAAAAACCAAAATGTCTATGAATAGTAGAATAGATATGTAAATTTTGGTATTTTCATACAGTGGGATACTACACAGCAAGGAAAATGAACAAACTATTATGTAGTAACATGGATGAATTTCACAGCCATACCATTGAGTAAATGAAAACCAGACACAAGCGTACATATTGTATTCTTCTGTTTATATAGTTAGACAACAGACAAAACTACCATATTTTTATGCAAATAATGTGTGCCTTCTGTGTTTGTTTGCCAATTGCACGCTCCCCCCAGGAGGTATTTTTGTAAGCGCTGCTATGCCAATTTTTTTTTTTACATGTTGCTGTAAAATAGCGTGCTAATTATTTTTTACGGCAATATGTAAAGAAATAATTAGCATAGCAGAGCTTATGAAAATGCCTCGTGGGGGGAGGTCATGATTGACAAACATAGAAGGCTTGCATTATTTGCATAAAAATACAGTACTACTACTATGGTGATAGAAGTTAGGAGAATGGTAATGCTCGGGAAGGAGGGCAGGGTAGTGACTGAGATAGGGGAGTGAGGGAGCTTCTAGGGAGCTGGGTAACATTCTGTTCGTGATTTTTGTGACAATTACACAAGTGTGTTCACTGCGCTGGACACTAATGATTTGTATCATCATCTAAGTCTCAAAATGTAAATGTCCGGGTTAGCACTGTTTGCCCAAACATTTATCAGTGAACAAGTTTAGACTTAATGGAACTCGTAGGTTCACTCATATGACTGAATGTTAAAAGAGTTATTACCACTACATATATTTTAAACATTGAACAAGAGTGTGACTATTTTCATGTAAAATTCTTACTTAAGTAAAATTTAAGCCTTAGATAATGTATCTGTATATTTCAGTAGTCATTAATTCTCTCATACTAAAGGGCAATTTAATTTTTAAAAGCAAGGCTAAACAATCTACTAGTTTAGATAAAAATTCAGGATTTTAACGAAACCATCATTTAGTGTAAAGAAAAATGTTAATATTGAATGAGATGTTTCTTTCTCTTTAGGGTTTGTGTTCGTTCTCGTTGTTGGGATGCCTGTATGGTTGTGGATGGAGGAACTTCTTTTGAGTTTAATGATGGAGCAATTGCTTCAATGATGATCAATAAAGAAGACGAACTTCAAACTGTGCTACTAGAACAGTGAAGGATTTTCTCAGATGACAAATTTTGATTACTGTTGAATTTTTTTACTGCGGAAACAGACTACTGGTTATAAGCTACATTATTTTTGGTTATTGTTGAGAATGGTTGCCCCTGGCTGAAAGGTGACAAAGAAAGTGAAATTTGCATTATTCTTCTGTTGGATGTGATGGAAAAGATGCGCACTAAGAAAATAGATGGACAAAACTGATTGGAATTGATACTAGTGAAATTTCTATAGTGCTTACAGTTGGGAACCAAGAGTGCTAATGTCTTTTTAAATTTAGAGAAGTAATAAAGGACTTAATGTTTAGGATTGGAAATTTAACTGTACAGGTGTTTTTTCCTTCTCCTTTTTCCTAGGTTTGTGAAATTGATCAGATCAAACACATATCCTTTGATTAGTGCATATTTTTTATAGTACCTTAAAAATCAAAAATTTTTTAAAATTTTGATATTGGTGGGGAATTTTAATAAATCCTGACATTGACCTAATTGAAATAGGTAAATGCACTTTTAAATGTGCTAAGAATTTTCTAATTTCAGAACAAAATGACATTGTTTTGACTATCAATTGAAAAATGTCAGTCACTTTCGAAGTTATTTACAGATCAGTGTTTTCATTTAGTTGACCTTAATTCATATTAACTTCAGCAATGCTGGGTGAAATGCATATAGCTGGGCAAAATCATGATGCTGTTAGAAATGTATTAATTACCCAGTAGCCATTTTAGGCCATAGGTATTGATTTGTTTCTCCTTTCTTTTCTTTTTTTGGGTGATTTGAGTTTAATAGGTTTCTTCCATCTTTAAAATTCACTAACATGGATTAAAAGATGAAAAGAATAAGCTGGTTAGACATCTTGTATTAGGAGTTTGGCAAAACTTAAGATATTTTCATCTAGTGTTAGGAATATTGTCAGAAACAAAATGGATTCTTTAATAAGTATGTAAAATACTCACATTTGTTTCGGGATTGCCTTAACTGATATTGTGGTTTCACTTAGCTCATATTCCAAGTTTCACACATCAGCATTGGAGGATACAATGTTATGGCTTTTTTTCTTTTCCCATTATAATTAGAGAATTCCTTTATTTTTGGAGGAAATTACTTTCATCTAATTTTTGATCTACTTAAGTAATCCTAGAATTGACACTAAAAGTTCCTATTGCTGCATAATGAAATACTTGATATTCTCATGCCATTTATTCACAGTTTTATCTTTTTTTTCCCACTTGCTGGTGAAAGTTTTTCAGTCATTGACAAGTATTTAACACCCACTCTGTGCTATGTACTATGCCAGGTGCTGGATATGCATTGATGAATGAAACACGTTATTTTTCTAGAACTTGAGTATAGTGAGCTCAGAAGTAAATTCTGTGAAAGCTAGGGTGTATATTCAAATTGAGTGCACTTAATTTTGCCAACATTTAACTTGCTGTTCTTATCATATTTTTAATATAAATGTTAGTATAGGCTCCTGGGTGGTACAAACAGTTAAGCAGTCGACTGCTAACAAGAAGGTTGGCGGTTTGAACTCGCCCAGAGAATTCTCAGAAGACAGGCATAACGGTCTGCGTCTGAAAGGTCACAGCCTTAATAACCCTATGGCAGTTCTACTCTGCACACACTGGGTTGCTGTGAGTCGAATTGACTCAATGGCAACTAACAACAACAACATACAAAGATAATCCAGATTTTGATGTATACCCAGAAGAATCTGTTCTTAGTTCAAAGTATCTGCAAAGACACTCATAACAAAGAGTTTATATAATGTATCAGGTAGAAAAACAATAAAAATCAGTGTTTTCCCAGAGCTGGAGCTAGTTTCTGGTTTTATTTTAAAATGATATGCTTAAGATACCACTTAATAAACAAGAGAAATTCCACAATATAGAAACTCCCCTGAAAACCAAACCAAACGAAACCCATTGCCACTGAGTCAGTTCTGACTCATAGTGACCCTGTAGGACAGAGTAGAACTGCCCCATAGGGTTTCCAAGGAGTGGCTGGTAGATTCAAACTGCCAACCTTTTGGTTAGCAGCCAAACACTTAACCGTTGTCCCACCAGCGCTTAGAAACTCCCCTAAACACACACACACACACACACACACACACACACACACACACACACACACACACACACACACACACACCCACCCCTGTTGTTGTTGAGTAGATCTCGACTCAAAGTGACCCTATAAGAGGTTTAAAATACCTTCTTGAAAAAAGTGCCAGTGCTGTCTTTAATATCTCAAGGAAATCTGATTGTCCAAAATGGTACTATAGGTCTGTTAATATGTATAGGTAACCTGCTGTGTAAAACTATTCCTAAGCCATATTTTAAAGGTTTTAGAAATACCTAATGTGTTCTGTTTTGTGATATAACTTCTAACATTTCTGCTCTGGATGGGAATTTATTTGTAAGCAGTGATGAGACACAAAGGGTGTTAGAATAGCGAAAATGTTTTTATGAATGAGTTAACCTTTTAATGGCAACTATATGTGAATAAAATTAAACCATTGTATCTCTAGCTTTTTATTTCATTTATTTCACTTAACTCTTATGGGATCTATTTGAAAACCAGGTTTTCATAAAATTTTGTGTTTCAAAAAGTTTTTCCCACTGCTTCTACTACTGTATATTGTTCTGTGCTCTGTTGATTTTTCATTCACTGCTAATATTTGACACAGGATCATGATTTTTTACATAATCAGATGGTAGAGTGTTTACCGGTAAATGTAGACTCTAAAGATAATTTTGATTTATTTTTGATATTCCACGTTGTTGTTGTTAGATGCCATCACGTCGATTCTGACTCATAGAGACCCTACGTACAATAGAACTAAATACTACGCAGTCCTGCGCCATCCTCACAATCGCTGTTATGCTTAAACCCATTGTTGCAGCCACTGTGTCAATCCATCTCGTTAAGGGTCTCCCTCTTTTTCGCTGACCCTCTGCTTTACCAAGCATGATGTCCTTCTCCAGGGATTGATCCCTCCTGATAACATGTCCAAAGTATGTGAGATGTAGTTTCGCCATCCTTGCTTCTAAGGAGCATTCTGGTTGTACTTCTTCCAAGACAGATTTGTTCATTCTGGCCCTAGTATATCAAATCATATTACAGGCAGTCCCTGGAATTATGCACAAGTTCCATTCTAAGTCTGTCTTTAAGTCATATTTGTATGTAAGTCAGAACAGTTAGGTACGATTTGTATCTAATATCAGTTATTCAAATGTTTGTCTTAGTATATAGTGTGCCTTTCTATGCATAAAAAACATTAAAGAAACACTTCCAGATACACTAAAACATCTTTAACATAATCATACAGTAATAATAATAATGTTTTGATGTAGGTTGCAAAGTAGCGCCTGTTCGTTATTACCAACTATTTTATGTACCTCAATTTTTTTTAATTTATATATATATATTTTTTATTGTACTTCAG